TGGATGAACACAATGTACTCACCTCTGCCGCTAACACCCCCCCATGTCGTGGCTTTTCTCACTAACTGTCCGGGTGGATCTCTGATGTCCAGTGTGCGCTGTTGACCAGCCAGCTCTGTGCATGGATCGATAGCTCAATCAATCCACGGGCTGCTGGTCGCTTATGTTTCGTCAGCACCCAGGACCTCTCTCGCTCCACTTCTCCCTCTCCATATGCTCTTCTCCTCTCAAGTGCAAATATGGTTTATTTGCATGAATAGGCAACAGCCAACTGATGCTCTCTCTGTCTCTGTCCCGCCTTCTGTTTTTTTATTATCTCTCAGTAAAAATGCTGGCTAAATGGAGGAAGGTAGGGTCAGCAGGGGTTCAGTGAGTGGAGGCAGAATCATTTGGGGCATAGGATTAACTGTGTGTGCACGAGAGAGAGAGAGAAAGAGAGAGAGGGAAATTGTGTGGTTTTCTACCTTTTTCATATCTCATCTGTGTCAGCGGTGCAGCTTCTCTTCAGACTTGAGGAGAGTTGTGTGTGTTCAAAGCTTATGCATGCTTGGATCTGACTGTAGAGTGAGCTGGCAACCCTGCTGACGTACATACACTCTCTCACTTCAGGACCATGGTGAGTCAAACGTCTCTCTGTCTGTCTCTCTCTTTCTTGCATGCATGCACAAATCGCATCCTCTCCATTCCTTCAACTCATTTGGACTTGCATTCATGCACACTCACACACACACACAGACACACACACAGTCTGAATTGAAGTGAAATCAGTCTAGCAAAGGCAGACAGGCAGATCACATGTAGCACTTTGTCTTCCTTTGTTTTCCTGAAACTTTGCTCTCATTTTCTATCTTTTTATTATTCCTCAACTGTTTTCCACCTCCACCATTGAGGTTATGTTTTCCTCTGTGTTTGTTTGTTTTTAAGCAGGATTACATAAAGACTATGAGTGGGAATATCACAAAACGTAGTGGAAGAATGCAATAAGGGTCAGGAAAGAACCTTTTAAATAATGGTGCCGATCTGGATCAGGGTTTTTTTTTTTTGTACTTTCTTTAACATTTATAGATGGGACATTTTCCAACATTTCTGTGAATTTCTAAAGACACAATTCAGAAATATGAAATCAGGCATATTTAGTGAACTGATATAAATAAGAGGATGTGATTTGGAGTGGCTGGATTTAATTTAAGGGGACTTTTGGGCCTTAGTGGAGGTATTCAGTCAACCGGGCTCCATTTTAGCTTTGTCTGTGCCTCTGTCTTTCCAATTGTGTTGTTGATGCCGCACTATAAGCCCCCTTGCCCTCAGCCCCTGGCACAAATCTATCGCTCAACAGCCGTGGCAGGGTGCCTGTAGCTGTCGCTGACACCATATGGGCCTCTCTGTGTGTTTGGGTGTGTGACGCTAGTGTCCTCTCTGCTGCCATCTGACCTGCAAATACAAACACGGCCTGGCCTCTCGCTTCCAGATCATAATTTGTTTTTTTAGAGATTACTGAAATTGTCTAAGCGTTTGGTTTCTGTCTCTTCTTAGTAAGCAGTCTGAGATGCTGCCCTTTAGGAGCATCATTAAAGTATCAAATACGGAATAAAACATCCAGGGACTTTAACCCAGCTTTTACAGCCTCATCTGCACATAACATGATGAAGCTTCCTGTGTCTATCAGTCTTTGTAGGAATTATATGCCTGTGCTGATAAGTGAATTGATGGTTGGTCTGTTTGTTTCATTGATTTCTCAGAGAATCATTTATGGATCTTAAAGACAAAAAACAGACGTTTTTAGGAGATATTTATGAGTGTGTGCAATTTTCTGCAGGTCCAAATAAAAATCTGGATCTAGTGAATTTAAATGAGGTTTCATTAGGGGACTGTTGTTGGAGGACGCATGAGCATTAATGAGTGCCATTCTTGTTTAATCCTGCATCTATGCTATTTTTCCTGCTTTTTTCTTGAGCAGCAAAGAGAGACAGGAAAAGAGACAGGTGTGCAGCAGTATCAGAAGAGCTTTTCCTGTCTGTGAAGAAGAACTTGCTGTATGTTAACCCAGGATATGTTTAAACTCTTAGTAAAGCCATGCAGTAAAGATGTTCAGCAGATGAAAGTACAACTCAAGTAGTTCATGATCATCATCATAGTCATCATTATAATAACTGGCAGTTATCTGTTACATACTGAAACTACTAAAGCTGCCTCGCGTTACAGAAGCAAATGGTTAGATCAAGAGGATATGACCCAAACTGTGGTTGAACCTTTGTATAAGTAGTTTCCTGTTTACCTGCTTGCCTTCTATACCTCTGACTCACTCCTCCATCCTTCCTGAGAACAACTGCAGCTCTTAGAGGAGTGTTTCTGATCTGATCACAAATCGTGTTGATAGAACATTTTTTAATTTTTTTCTTTGAATAAATTCCAAGGGTCATTTATTTTTGATACGATTAGATCGGAATACATGCATTCTTTGTTTCAGGAAAAACAAGCATGAATAAATTAGAGTCCAGCGCAATATTGCCGGTACAGATGGCTGCAGCATGGTCAGTTTAATTCCTGTGTATAGAGGTAAACATATTATAACACTGGCAAGGTGAAACTCCCTAACATACATACATGTGAACGGTCATTTGCGAGCGAGGATGTTGCACATCAAAAAATCTCAGGTGTGAACTCCCATCTCCATATGTTGTTTTTTTATGACCAATCATGAGTGAAATAATCGCTGAGTATTTCCGCCTCGAAAAAACATTCCTAAGAAACCAGTCCTGTCAACGTTGCAGGGTGGGGCCTTCTACAAAGTTCTGCCGTAGCTGATACACCTTGTTTTGCAGTGGCATTACAAGATGTATTTGAGGAGCTTGGTCATAGGTTGGTATTTTGCAAGCTAAGTTAGCTAAGGGAGCTTAATCAGAGCTGTTGATGGGGACCAAGTCTAATTAAACAAAGCTTCTGGATCTTGAAAATGTTGCTGCAGATCGGGATGACGTTTTTGCTTGACCAGCTGCCACCCATGTCTTACCGCGGATAATTTGGTTTGTTTTAGCAAAGTTGGAGCAGCAGGACAGCAGGTGAGGGGTGGGTCAAGATAGAAGCAGTGCTGATTTGCACATTTATAAACACACACATTCTAAATTAGGTGAAGTATGTCATTTTAAGGAACTAAGAGTTTTTGGCGATTGATCACTTTCATCAAATGGAGCTTGAAACTTCTTGATATTCATTTAAAGGCCCTACACAGCTGTACAGATGTTATCACTGAGCATGTATGCAGGGCCTTTTAGAAACGCTCCAAGTGGAACAACAATTTTGCATGTGCGTCAAAGGGGAAACAACGTGCATGTGTCAGTGGCCTTAAAGCCAGATGATGCTACTTCTCTGAAGAATAACAATGAAAACACACATTCGGTTGCTTACAAATGAAAAGTTGAATTTATAAGAATGTGCTCAATTCAGATCAAGCTGCAGATGTCTTACTTTGTCTGGTGTGACCAGAAGCTTATGCTGAGTAGTAAACCTTAGCAAACACTGCAGTCCTGTGTATCTTGCAGTGATCCTCCTGACAGCGTTACTCAGCCATCAGGCCGGCAGTCTTTCAGCAGGTATGCTGGTGCAGAGTGGTTTTATTGTAATTCTCTGTGGCCATGGGGTCACAGATTCACTCCTTTGCTTTAATAACAATGGGAAGCTTCTGTGTATTAGCCAGAACATGCGTGTGAGTGGCAGAAAGTTTCATGCTCTCTTATGTAAGTGGGTCTTGGCTAGGTAGGGCAGGGGATGCTGGCTCAGGTGGAGAGATGCAGACGGATGCTATTTTGGTTGTGCTGCACTTACAGCCTCCGAATGCATGAGTTGTTTACTCACGTGTTTCCTAGTTCTGCCCGATGAAAGGACAATAGAAAAGCAGTGTATTGTGAGGTTTTGGAAACTACTGCATTGGCATTTCATCCTCAACCACATCTCTCAAGAAAAATACAATTAGAAGTGATTAGTTGCTTATTTGATCAGTCACTTTGCAGATCATTAAATTCCAACTTACAATGTTGATAAGTGATCAATCTGAAAGAGATGTTCAGAGTCAGACCAGAGCAAACATGCCTGCAATAGTGCTCAAGATGCCAGGTCAGGCATTGGCGAGTATGTAAATACATGTACTGATCTGATACCACGACTTTAAAGTACTTTTGTTTCATTTAGATAAAATCACTTTGAAACAGCAATTCTGCTGTACTGCCACTGGCAAGTGCTGTTTTTACTGCAGCAAAACAGAAAGATATTTCAGTGGATCATTAGCCAGAGCTACTGGAAAGTCCTAAAAGAAAAAAAGGTAGCATTCACCATATGCAAATCTTCAATTTTATGGGTGGTGTTGCAGCATACAGCTGTTAAAATATTTTTTATTAGAAAGTATCGGATCAGTACTTTGTATCAGCCAGTACGCAAAGTCCAGGTATTGGAAACAGTATCAGGAAGGGAGATAGTAGTATCAGACAATTATAATGTGTATATTACTATCCCCTGTGTTTCCAGTCGTTGTGCTAAGCTAACCAACCACCCTGGTTGTGGCTCTATATTAAATGGAGAGATGAGAGAGTGGTATTGATTTGCTAATCATTACCAAGATTTTTAACTATTCATTTTAATTGTTTTATTTATAAAGTCAGAACATAGTACAAAATAAAAAGTAAAAGACCAGCAATCAAACACACGAAGGTAATCAGTTTTCAATTTTACAAAACAGAACAACCAACAAACCCTCCAATTTAGGAACTGAAACCAATGTATGTTTAGTCTATTTTGCTAGAAAATGGAGAGACTAAAATAGTAGCATTGTCATACAGGTCAGTGATTTTCCCCACATTAATCCACACTTCCATTTTTAGAACTAAAATGAATCACTTCTCTTTTGAACCTGCTCAGAACCATCTGACGTGTTTCATTGTTCCTTGTCAGCTCCAGTAATCTCTCTCTCTCTCTGGATCTGTGTGTATGTGTGTGTGTGCTTGTTTCAGAACATGGCACTGGCCTGGCTCCTGTCTCACCTGCCCTACGCTAACCCGACCAGCATCTCCACTGTCACACATCATCACGCCTCCTGTAAAGCCTGCTAAACGGGACTGCACACAAGAACCATGCTGTCAGGGACATGGCGGCGCTCTGTGGGGCATCAGCAGCCTTCTGCCACTCCGGTGATGAACACCAGGGGGATGACGGTGTGTGGGGTCCCTAGCGGCACGGTGGTCCTCGAGGCCCAGTATGACTACAACTACCGTGGTGCAGATGGACGGCAGGTCTGCATAAGGGAGGGAGAACGGTTTGTTCTCCTGAAGAAGACCAACACTGATTGGTGGCAGGTCAGAGAACTGGTTATTTGTTTCTGTTGTGCCAGAGGAAGTTAGGCTGGCAGAGTCAGGGAAAGTCTTTCAAGTCCCTCCTGAAAAGACTTTCCTAATTTTATCTGAGTTGTTTGTTTACTTAAATTATTTCATTCACTCTTGGTACATATGCTTCATATATTCAGACTACCTCTAAGAAACACACTGGAGGAAGTGACACTTATATATAAAGTTGTCTGTGGACAAGGTATTGACTTTGGGTTTCCAAAGAGAAGTTGTGGGTTTGATCATCGCCTCTGTTACACTCATAGGACTTGGACATTTCTGTACACCTACACTCTGTGTGTTCTTTGACAGGTACGGAGGATCGGGGCAGCGAGTAAAGCAAAGCCATTGTATGTACCTGCTACTTATGTGACAGAGGTGCCTATTGCACCCATGGCGTCGCCACAGCGCCTGGTAATGTCTGCCTCGCTGAACTCCAACCTCAGGATATTGCCAAGAGTGTCACTCTCTCCCAGCCCTTCAGAGACTCCCTACACTGGACAGCATCAAGGTAAAGTCTAAGGAAACATCTGGTGTGGGCCTTCAGTCCAAATGATTGTTTAATTCTGTATCATCAATGTGTCTCTTGAGTATAGAAGGAAGATAAGTCATAATTGACCATTTTATATTCTTCTTCTCCAGTGAACAGACCCATCTACCGCTCCATGGAAAACCTCAACTCAAATAGTGCCTTTCAGGGACTGGACAACAACACCACGAGAATAGGTGGACGGCACTTCCCCACCCTGCCCCTCTCTGGATTCGGCTTCACTCCCAACTCTCCCACCTCTCTGTCAGGCCACCTCATGGCACCCGCTGCCTCCGGGGCTCAGACAGCGCCATCGAACCCCAGGGTGGTCCCCATGATCACACGGAGCCAGAGCTCCAGCAACCTGCCTGAAAACCTGATGGAGAACCCGTACGATGAGGTGGGCGGAGGCTTCAGCAGTCGCGTCAACCACAGGGCCCCGAAGAAGTCCTGCAGCCAGTGGGACATGGTGGGAGCATCGGGCAAGAACAACCATCTGCAGGTAGGGAGAAACGAGAGCCACCAAATCTAATTTCCAAAATCTGTAATATTAGTTACCTGGTAAAATGTTAGAGTGACCAAAATGACAATAACGAGTAGTACGGCATGTTTACACTTATTGTGTTTGTGTAAAGCTTTGGGCCAGAGTAATTCACCATTGGCTGGCACAAAATAATTGACATTTGAATTGAGACATAAATCAAGTCGTCAAACCCATGACCACCGAGGACGATGGATATTTTCGAGTCATCATGTGCTGAATTAAAAATAAAATAGTGTGGTGTAAGATTAATTTTCCCTTATTTTATTGGCAAAATCTTTAATCTGATCAAACTGTAACTTCAACTGTAACAGTCAAAAAACAGCTACTGGTTTTTACTAGCTCTGTGACTGAGCAGGGTAAAAGGGCATGTTTGAAGATATATGAAATACTATGTGGAGAAAACTGATTAGTGTGGGATGTAGTTATTCAAATTCAATTACATTAGAAATGTGCTCTTCCTCTCTCATTAAAACATTTTAAATTATTGGCTTTTGAATAGTTCTACATCTTTAAACTTTCCACAATCAGACAAGCTTTTCAGGTAGAAACAAATAACCATAGTTGTTCCTCTTGTACCAAATTGATTAAAAAATAAAACAAAGTCACAGGGCCTCTTGTTTAGATCCCACCAGACGTCAGACTTGGACATGTCAGCACAGGTTGCGTTCAATTTACGTCTGTACTTGACCTCAATAATCCTCCCAGAGCAGCAATCAAGTTCACACTGCTGTGACGTCAGAGCTTCCCTGTCTTACATCAGAGGGGATTACACAAGACAGGAGCTCTCACAGTTTTCTGTCCGTCAGCTGAGGGAAGCTCCCTCCGCTGAGGAGCCGAACTGTCTGTCCGAATGGGGGTTTTGCTTCTGCTGAGCAGCCACATGTGACTCTGTATAGCTGTGATGTCAGTGGAGGGGACAGTGGTCTTTTTCTATCTCTCTCATTCTCTTCTTCCCTGTCTTCCTCTGTCTGTATCTTTTTCTCTCTGAGGATTGTCTTTGTTCAAACCTTAAACACCAGTAAGCAGGATTATTGCAGCCACATTCAGGTCATAACTCCACATTTTCATCCAGAAAACACACTCACTCCATCTCTCACCATACATTTTTGGGCCATTCTTTTTTTAATGATTATTTATAGAAATGTCAACATAAAAATAAAACAATATGAACCTTTGCATATATGGCTGGATATGTGGGGTAGAAGAAAATATTCTGTAAAATGAGGTTGAAAAAAACTCAACAGGAAGTAACATATCTATAAGGGATATTCTCCATTTTGTCCTATGTCCTTAAATAAAGTATAGCGATTTACAAAGTCATTAATCAATGTTATAAACACAATTTGAGATGTGGGTGGCAGTTTATAGATCTTAAAAGAAACTTATTACAGCCTTACATTAAAAGTGTATTGACAGTCCTGTGTTGCAGCAGATAGTCTGGAAAGGTACATGTGTAACTAATGCATGTGTGAGTGTGCAGCACCCTGATGTTAGTTATACCTGCGTTAGACAAATATCTACATCTGCAGATACTTGAATATTATTCACACTGCAGTCAATATATAAATGGCAAAAAAATAGTTTTGTTTGAAACTAATATACATACTGCACATATTTTGCACAAAGAGACATTTACATAAAAAGACTGTGTCTTCCTTCCATCGTACAGGGCTCTATTTTCTATATATTAACATTTATCCTCGTACAACATTTTGGTGTTGTCATGGTAGCAAATCAACTTGAGTATATGCAAGTTTGAAATTATCCAGTGATATGACCTTTGTCCATAGAATACAAAATATAAGTGTTGTGAATAGTATTATGTTAATGAGCCAGCGTCCTGTCCGACCCTGTGTGAAACACTTGGTTTGGATTTGAGACCTGAGATGAACAGAAGGAAACGTTGGGACAGGAGGGTGCAGGCGAGCTGAGGACTCAGTGCTGCCTCCTTGAGTAAAATGCCATACATAATTTTTATGTGTCTTACATTACATTACACATACTGTGCATCCATACACACACACACACACACACACAGACACACACACACATGTCTCCTTTGTCATTATCTGAAATGCCTGTGTTGTGTGTTATGTAACAGGGATCAACCAGTCAGTCAATCAGTTAGTGAATTATGTCTCAGCTATGACTCAGGAAAGATGATCTTCCATGCATATCCTTTCAATTAATTTCATTGGATTTGTACATTTCTTCTCTTGTAGCTGTTTAGTCCTCGCTATCTGAGCGAGCACATGCATTTCTATAAACTCCTTCTTAATCCAAAGTCTGACGGGTTATTCTGCAGTAAGAGGCAGTCTATATCTATAATCTATTTGAGTCTATTGGTGGTTTGTGTGAGGTTAACTGTCTCCTCTTTGCATGCTTGTGAACATGCTATGCTAACCCTGTGGGGGCCAAATGTAGTTTATTCATGCATATAAGGAGCTACTTTCGAGCCTTTGATCAACAAATCCTTTATAAAAAATCTGAATAAGGTTACCAAATGACAACCAAACCAAATAAGTTTTATTGAGTTTTAGACAATACACAGCTCAACACACATCATTTATGTGTGTGTCCCACAAATTAAGCTTTGAGATGTGTCCTACACTCAGACAGAGAAGAAGAAGAAAGAAGAAAAGGTGACCAAACATTCATAAACAGCTCATCCTTTAAAATGATCTTTAACCTTTAATGATGGAGGGTGATTAAAAATCTCTGTATCTGTACCAAAGGGAAACACTTGGGGGCTGGGTTGGGAAACATCTGGAGACATTTCTATTGCAATGCAGGAAGATGTAATTTCCGAGAAGGAAGGCTTCATAGAAAAACACCAGGGTAATACATTTTTTTTAATCTTTCAAAGAAATAAATGTCCTGAATCTGTAAAATAAAATACTTCCAGAAGCAATGGAAATATACTCCCCTTTCTGAGTGGCATTTGATGCATAGAGGAGAGACTGAATGCTTTGTTTTATGCAATGTTATAAAGGTTGTATGGCAAATTTTGTGCAGAGTCTCTGGCAGTGTTACATGTGGACGTGGATCTGACCAGGTCTACTGTCATCTTCTCTATATCCAGTACCTATTTATGTTTACAAGAAATATTTGAAAACTCATATGCAAGATCCAAGGAGTGAATAAATTGATGATATAAAGAGTTTTCATGGTCACAGTGGTTTATTTTGAGTCAATCCCACAGACACCATCCTGCTGCCATAAATACTCACCAGTGGACCAAGTGTGCATTAATCTGCTGCTGAAAATAGTCCCCAACAAATGCACTGCTGAATTATTGAGCATTTTCTAAAAACTACAGTGCCGTACTCTTTTTTAGAAATTATTAAGATGTTTTTAAGAAGAACACTTTCTATTCCTGACCTGTTTTTAAAGATTTACTTTTTTTCTCCCTTCACTCTTTCTGCCAACAAGGTCCCAACAGAGTCGTACCTGTCACAACTTTCCTGGCAAAACTCTCCTCTTTACACTGAAGGCGTGGAGCCAGAGAAACAGCCGTCGCAGCCGGAGCCGCCCTGCCCTGCCCCGGGTCAACAGCCTCTTCAGATCAAGGACCTCTGGGAGCAGTACTCAGACCCAGCTACAGGTAGACTCTACTATTTCAACACCATCACCAAGGAGAGGTCCTGGAAACCCCCTCGCCGGGCTCGTGGACGGACCAATAACAAGGTACAACACACAACCACACTCCCACTGAATCCATTATTTTTTTTATTTCACTGAAATTAGCATAAAAATTGAAAAGCTGGGCATTTTCAGAGCTGTATGAAAGCGTCTTTTCTCAGAGGAGAGTGAAGAAAAGGGTCAGAGTGTCGAATGAAACAGAAAGCTAATTTATATTCTCACATAGTTTGACTGTATCAGCACTAAAAAGGACCTTTTCAAGCACAGAACCTAAAGTAAATCAACCTGCCTCACATATTTGACTCAGACACGAGGTGATGCACACACACTGATCACAGGCCAGGTTTCCACAGCGTGGGGAGACTCGTATTTGAGTGAAAGTTACTCTACATATTCTCACTTTGGCAAAAAGTCACATTGAACTTAACACCACGAAAGTTGCTGAATAGTAACTCAAGGGAACGATAGGGATCACAGACTTTATACAAAGATGGAGGACATGACGGCTCCGGAAAAGTGAAGCCAAAGTGTCTCGATGACCACCTGGTGACTGAATGCACAAAAAGGTCATAAATCCTGTCTTCTCCATGTTATCAAATGGGACATATAGACCAAACTAAAAAGTCAAACTACTTTCTGTCATTTTAGGTAGTATCACACCGATGTTTGTTCATTTTTTCAGTAGGTTTTAATTAGTGTTTTGATGCTATAAAATTGGGTAAAACACTATGACTGACAGCTGAGACTGTATCTGCCTTTATTTACAGTTTGTGAGAGGGCGAGACAACTTGAAAGAAATAGTTCGATGTTTTGCTTCCTTGCTTAAAAAAAAAAAGTTGATTGTTCCTCTATTTGCTTGTCAGTTATGAAGCTAATCAGGAGACATAAATCCTGAAACAGAGGGAAACAGCTAGCCTAGCTCTGTTCAAAGCTAAGAAAATAATCTTACCAGCTCCTTTAAAGCTCATTAACAAACATTGCACGTGTCATTTATGTAATCTATACAAAAACTCAAATCTGAAAACCGTACTGAGCAGTTTCATCTAAACTAATCAGTTATTTTACTGTTACATGAGGATTGAGTCAATCTTCTTATTCCAAAATATCAGAACATTCCTTGTACAGAATATTTGAACAATAAGTGGATTGGATGACCGACACAGAGAGTTTTAATTCTGGGATTATGAGAGCACCTAACTAAAGCAATGAAAGGTGGACAAAAATACCTCACAGCATATTGCACTGACAATAACAGTGAAAATAATCTAACCAGTCATTTTCTTAATTGTTGTTTTATTCTATTTATAGAGTAATTTTAGCTAAAAGACTTCCTCAGTAACACTTTGTGTTTCTTCTGTTTTCTTCTGACAGACCAATCCAGCACAGCCTCAGACTTTACCCAGGGACACCAGTCACCTTTCACTACCACTTTCTGAAACAGGCAATAGAACTATGCACAAGGTAAGGCTGTTGTACAGAGTATAACATTTAATGTATATATATGTATGTATGTGCGTAGATATTGGGATCCAGTCACAAGGAAGGTTGATCTCATTGATCTCTATGTGGTATAAAATAATCTTTTTGTGACACTAATTACACAGTCAGTGATGAACGTAGGGTTTGAAAGATGTTGGAATCCTCTTAACGTCTCGATAGCCATCAATGAATTAAGTTGTCTGACAAAAAAGAAAAAAAGTCACCACAAAACATTTTATTTAGACAGAAATGTCTGTCGCCTGCCTGTGTGCACCCTGTCCCTTCTCTCACTGCATTATAACTGATATCTTCAGCTGTGGAAACATACTCAGACATACATGTAGCAGAGACAATGGCCAGATGAGAGCGAGCGAGTCACGGAAAAGTCATCTTCTAACAGTCGTCCTCATGATGGGAGGGGCTGGATTGTATCAGCTGCATTTTTTCAAAGTGGCCTGCTCTTGCTAGCTTTTCCAGGATATCAAACCCTAGCTTTAAATGTATGTTTTGTTTAGTTTTTTGTTCTTTAGAACCTTTTATGCTCTTAACTTATTGCTCTAACTGTCTCTAACATGTAAATAATAATTGAAATAATTCTTATGTTACATGCTTATCTAACCACTGACATACAGAACAGACCGCAGCGAAACAACTACACTAGCCCATCTGCCCATCTCTCTCTGCAAATTAATCAGTCGTCCGCCTCTGTCCCCCAGACTGAACAGTGTCAGGAACAGACACACGGAGCATGGTCAAAGTAAAAAAACGGGGTTATATCATCCCTGTCGTCACATCGTTCACTGACAAACGTGCTGCCTTATTTATTTATTAACCGCGCTGTGACACACGCCTCCTCCTCTCGAATGGTGTTTTTGTCAGGCTAATCCCTGAAGGGAATAACAAGGTAATGCCTCTTGATCTGATGTAGATGAGCAGAAGCCATTAGGGCTACACAGAGGGAGACAAGAGGAAGCAAAACGTTACAGAACATTTTCTAAATTTAAAACCACTCAATAAAACTTCTCATAGCTGTTAACCCCTCCCAGACCTTGCAGATGCTGTAATAGTGTAAAAAAAAAAAAAACTCCCGCTGTTTCATTAGTTTCACCTTTTTGTCGTAAACTTTTGTAAACCATTTCGATTGCAGAAGTTCATCTGTTGTTTTGAGGTGTAAAGGTTGTAGGGATTTATGCAACTCTGACTGATATAGACACGTCCGCCAATTCAGTGACGACATCGACGAGATAAAGTGACACAAGCTGCATGATCCAGATTGTTAGGGATAAGCATTTTGCATCTCAAGGTTGCGTTGCCTCAATGTTGCATCAGTGTTTAATGTAGCTCATCAAGATCATACGCACATGATCAAAGCAGTGATACCCCATCAAGTCGGTTTGAGGTGCATTCTGTTGACCTATATGTGTCAGTTCTTATACAGAGGAACATGTGTTACCAAACAGGAACCTTACCAATGATATTTTAAGCATAAACGTGCCACATGTTTATGAAGCAGGTGTAAGAACCAGCACACGGTGTTCTCTACACTTAATTTACATTTTTGAATATTATATTAATCCTTATCATGTTGATTCTTAGGTGCATTAATCCAAAAGGAAGTGTGGAAGCTCCTCGTCATCCCTGTACTTAAATTCCATTTTACAAACTACTACTACATTTAATGGAGAACTTGTGTACTTTTTACCCCTTTTACATATCGTCTATATGAGCTTCAACAAGTTTTCAATTCCTGGCTTAGCCACCAGAAAAAAGGTTGATAGTCAACAAATGGTTTATCTGGAATGTTTCATCAAATGTTTCATCTTTAACAAAGTTATTCTTCTATCAATTTCCACCTACATGTTTGCAATTATTTTCCTCCTTAAAGGTACAGTGTGTAGAATATTGTGATATCTCGTGTTGAAATTTCATGTTACAGCTAATACCTCCTAACCTCACCCTACCCTTCATGAAAAAGAACCTGTGGGAGCTTCAGTTGTCATAAAAACTCAAAAGGTGTTTAATTTGTCCAGTCTGGACTACTGTAAAAAAAATGGCTGCCTCCGTAGAGAGGGTCCCCTCGATGTAAATATAAAGTATTTAAATATAAAGGGCCTATTCTGGGGTAAAGAAAACTACAATTCATACAATTTAGATGAAACGAACTAGTGAAAACATCATGAGGATTAATCTACATTAAATGTCTGCCAATAGTTCCCTTTCACCTAAATCTTACACAGTGGACCTTTAACAAAAACATATAGATCAGTTTTTTTTTTGCTGCTTTCACACAGAGGCATTGTTAATAATGTGCTTAAAAAGATTTAATAATTAATTAAATTAAGAGAAGTAGAAAGTAGAAATAAAACAGTGATAATCCCCTGCTGTCTTTGACTTCAAAACCTACAACAGAAGGTGTCGGATGGCGGTTAATGTGTCATTCTGATGGGGTAGTTCAGCTGATCTCACCTTCCTGGTTGAGCTGCTGTGCATAACACTCGTTTGAGCTGATAAAGTCAGCTTCCCTCTAGAATGGGGAAGTAGACACGGTCTGAGAAGAGAGGGAGAGATGAGTGGTTTTGACACTCAGAAGAAAAAGCGGCATGGCGTGAGAGGGCGAGTTGAGCACTCGACACATAAGAAGCACTCAAGAGACGAGAGTTTTTTCTGGATTCTTTAACTGGGTGATTTGTGATAATGAGCACCTATGCTGTAAGTTTGTTTTTTATTTCCTACACAATATTGTTTATCTAATTCTGAGTTTTATTTCATGGCATTTTTTTTTTAGCAGCACGTGACTACTGGCTTTTCATTCTCAGAGGTGTTGGTACAGACTTTCTCATTCTCAGAAGCTAGGAGCTAATGTGACGGTTGTAACGTGGGTGTACGTGATGTGTGGCCCAGTTCAACAGCTAAAAATCACCATGCTTGAGTCCAAAAGAAAACCTTTGCCATGAATGTCTCACTGAGCAACTGCCTCTCATTAACTTCAGTGGAAAACATGCAAACGTGTGTGTCATGGTGAATCAAAGAGCATTCGTTTGGCAGGATGTGTGTGTGTGTGTGCTTGTGTGAGTGTGTGGGGGGGGGTGTTCACTGGTGTGAGTGTTAGCCTGGGCCTCATTGCCAGAAATGACAGATAATCTGTCAGCATCCGGTTTCTCACGGGTGTGTGTAATTTAACCAACCTGCTGTCATTCTGCTATGACTCTTGTTTCCCCCAGTGGCAGAAAATTCCCAAAGTGAAAACATTCTTAGATTTATTTTGCCGGTCAATTGTGCAGAAAATTGAACCGACTTGTATTTTAAATTTTCATTAAATATAAATCGTGTCTGTTCATGTGCGTTTCCTGTGTTTGTCTTCCTGGATCACTCTTTCTCCTCTCTTTCTCTCTCTCCGCAGCTGTCACCCGAGTTCCTTTTTGGGAGCCACCAGAGGACAAATGACTGTGGCTGGCAGATGAAACAGGTGAAACTCTCCTCTACCTGCTGCACTCTTTCATCGCCAGAGGCCATCTCATTCACCTTACTCTCACCTTGTAAAAAACACAATAGTCAAAAGATGAAAGTAACAGATAAAACCATTCACCAGCTTTATATATTCTGGCTACACAACAGGATGCATTTGATTAACATAACAGGACACCAGAGAACTCTGCTGGCTTTGTTTGCCACCTTGCCTCTGTCTCGGCACTAGAGAAAATCCTGCTTCGTGTTCTGCTCGCATACAACACGAGAACTTTTACTTGAATATCAATAGATTGCTTTGCTTATTGCTCTTTTAGAAACCCTTAAATGGCATGTATGGCTGTGGTAAGGTAATCCTAAGTGTTTTGTCAGTGCTTAAAGGGCTTTTGATGGAGGGAATTTTCCTCATGAAAATCAATGAACTCGAGTCATTAGATTTGCAAAAACTGTATCTTTACTGTATTACTGCAAAATACAATATAGTACTGCCAGCTATGCTCTTTAGATTCTCAGAGATCAGCATTTATGTATATGAAGGTGGTGAAAAAGCAACTCATGGTGTAAAAAGAAAGGCGGTTATCCAAGCAGTTCTTACTGCAACATGTTGCATCACAGTGGGGTGTGGGTGCGCTTGGTTTAAAGCCCTTTTAAAGGCCTCATCTTAGCAAAGGAGCAGATTTGGCTCTTAGTGCTAATCCGCCTTGCATGAGGAGATGGCAAACATTAGGAGGGATATTTAGTCTGATTGTTGAAACTGGGTTACAGGGATTCACAAAGGTACTTAATTATGGCTGTTGCTGCAAAAATTGAAGTTGTGTGAATATGTGCATTCACGTGGGATGATGCCCTCTGTATATGCTTGGGATTGTAAGCATAGATATTTTGCATGTAATGTCACATGTGTGCATGTATGCATCATTGTGTCTGTGACAATCTGTCTCTCAGTCGTTCCCGTGAACTCAAGCAAACTTTTAAAGGAAACTAGTTTGTCTCCATCTGTTAATGTGCAGAGTTGTCATGATGAGCACTGATGCTTGAGGTCATTGACGTTTGTCAGATTGCCAGAATGCTTCTATTTGCGGTTCATCAATTACTGTATGTTCTAATGAAAAGCTGCTGCACTGTTCACTCTCCATAAGGAGTCCCAAGAGAACTGAGAGCAGAGGAAGATAAGAAACCTGTTGAAATGAAGCTGAGATTGTGTGTACATCCCACAGCAAAGCATGGCCATCAAGACAACATGACAAAAGGTCTTTATCTTAGTTTTTGTGGAGTCAGTACTAACAGTATTCTATTAAATGCTATACTGTTAAGGCAAACTCAGTGTATGGCCCTTTTGTATTGTGCAGATTATAAAAGTGTCATGCAAACTGAAGATTTAATATGCTTTATTCCTGTGTTATGTTCCAGGCTTTGCATGCATTGTTTGTATTAAGACTACAAAGCTCACTGATCTCAAGACGCTCTCAGAAGAAGGTTTGAGTGAAATGAGTTTGACCTTTGTGCTGTTCTTTACTGTTGCTTATTTGTAATTTTAATTGTTTTGGAAATAAAGCTGATTGTACTGTTGTACTCTGGTTGCTTAAGGCAAGAAAGTCAATTAAATACTAAGTATTATGTAAATATAATATAAATATATATATATATAATTAATATATATCTTTGAAAATCTCTATACAGTTATTATGAGGAAAACAATATTGTACCAGCTATCACAGGATTTCTACACAATCAACAGATGTAAGAATAAAATGGGAGTTAGTTGTATTTTTCTCTCTGTTGGCGTACAGTATAATAAATCAGTGATTCTCCCTTGTTTGTCTGTTCCACCTCTGACCCGAACCTGTGACCCTGAACTCTTAACCCCTGTAAAGAGCATGCAGCGTGCAGCCTCTTCTGACACCGTGAGCATGACGGCATTCAGCAATGCAGGTGCCCAGTGCCATAATTCTGCCACCGTGCATGATGTCAAGCAGCAGCTCAGCCACTCCCAATCTATGATCCTGCCTGAGAATGGCAAGGTACTCACCTCCAGAGCACATACACACATGCTCGTAAGCTGTGAGACACACGGAGAGACAGTGAAACGGAGAGAAACACTGCTCCGGTGCATATAACGCAGCTAACGATGACCAATTCGTGTTTTCCAGCTGGTCCAGCAGTGCAGAGATTACACCTGTAACGTGACCAACATCGTCGTGGAGCCTCCCTCTCCTCAGAGCTCTCCAGACAGCGACGGTCACACACCGGTGAGCAACACTGCCTCTTAACTTATTGATGAAGATACCTGTACATGTACATATTTTTTATTTATTGAACATAATGGACTGAGAGTTCTTCTGTCTTTATATATTGTACTCAACACATCTAACTTCATAGTTTGTATTAATTCTGTTCTCCTGCACCTTAAACGGGGCCATACCGCAGTGGGAGACTGTAAAGCAGCTCCCCTCTCGCTATTTTTTTGAATGATGCAACAGTCAAGTTAAATGGGTTCGCTCAGGATGCAGAACACTCTACAGAGGAAAAGCCCTCTGCTGCACTTTACTGTTAACATTTGAACATGTCCTCACATACTCTCATTATTATTGAGGGATAATAGATATAAGGACTTCTCTTCCTCTCAGGAGTTGGAGAAAGCCGGCCTCTTGAACAAGACAAAGATTGCAGAAGGAGGCAGGAAACTGAGGTGAGGAGTCAGGGATCAGGAACATAATGAATGAAGAGTTTAAGGAGTACGGTTTTCGGGGCTAAATACTGACTGAGCAACAAACATGTTTGTTGGGTTGCAGGAAAAACTGGAGCCCGTCCTGGGTTGTGTTGGTTGGGAACAGTCTGGTTTTCTTCAAAGATCCTAAATCACAGACACCGTCCAGCTGGGTAAGAGCGGAGAGAAACCTCATGTTTGATGGTTTAAGTCAAGGTCAGGGTTATATTGATGCATAGACAAGCTTTGCTGTAGTATATTTTTTCAACGACTAGGAAATAATTGCATGAGGCCTCTAATGTCCTGATTACAAAATCCTCACTAAGTGGGAGTTTGTCAGAAATGCAGATGTTGCTTTTTCTGCTAAATGGACTTCTCTTTTGAAATTGAAAATGTCAACCTACTCAAGTCAGCTAATTCTTGTAGGAGTAACGTTCTCCTTATGGGTCATTGTAGTAAAATAACAACCATCAGCTCTTATGCTCGTAAAACGGGTCACGCTGTTGGTGTGTGAAAGAAAGACTTGATCTAAAAGGGGGGGAAGTGTTGCAAAAAGACACTCAAACTCCATTTTTTAAAATCAATCCAGTTAACTGAATGTTGAGAAAATGTTACAAATATGTACCTGTGCATGTTTATTGAAAAACAGAAACCAGGAAACAGTCGCCCTGAGAGCAGTGTTGATTTAAGAGGTGCACAACTGCACTGGGCCAATGAGCTGTCCAGCAAGAAGAACGTCTTCAAGGTAAGAGACAAGTAGGATGAAAACAGAAAAACTATTTAAAACTAACTTTGAGAAACACATGACCTCTAGATGCACACTTATTATTTAACTTCTTAAGAAATTCAACAAATCATTACACATGACCTCAGTGTCCCCTTCATTTTTTTATTTGAATCATTTATGTGAACTGTCATATAGAGAGAACATGGTTAGAGTAAGAAGAAAACACAGTCTGATTATTTCTGTCAGTGGAGATTCCCTATATAGATAAAAAGTAGAAGTGTGAAACTTTCATTCATCTGGTCACTCATCAATGACTCACAACAATGAGATAGAGGAAGCAGTAAAGATACATTTTCCAGTGAAATGTGGAATTAATTGTCATCAAAATCAAAGAATTCCATAGAAGGTCAGTACATTTACTTGAAATACTAAATGAGGAACTTTGGGGACAGGTTTTCATGCATTCATATCGAAATGTATAAATGTTGATGTTTCAGCTGAGGACAGTGACAGGAAATGAGTTCCTGCTGCAGTCGGAGACGGACTCTCTGATCAAAGAGTGGTACAAAACCATCCAGAACGTCATCGACAGGCTGGTGAGACACAAACACACGACACACACTTTTTAAAGTAAAGAAGTAAATGTACAACATTTTAGCTACTTTTGACCGTTTCCTATTAATAGTATAATAGTTTTTACTTTAACTGACTTGTATTTCTCAAGGGTAGCAACATTTTAACATTTAGTCACAAACCTCATCCCTTCTCTCTTTTACTGTTTTCTTTTTTTAATTTCTTTTACGTTTATATATTTTTTCTTGTTCAATTTGAATGTCTTACGTTCTATTCATTGTCTTTTATGCGTGATATAAACTGCTTGTAGAAATGCAATATAAATAAACAGCCTCACTTTAGGAGACGCGTAAATTCATTTTATAGTGAGAGGATGATGAAAAACCTTTGAACAGCTGAAAACTGTAAAATGTCCCACTCACACATATGTTGGTCATAAATGTTGAATTAACAAAGTAGTTTTTGTTTCGATTACCAATGGCTCCTGTTTCTAATAAAAAAAGGTCAATATAAAACTGCAGTTATTTCTACTAGGAGGCCAAAAATGAAGTTTAAAGAAATTTGATTGTAACATTCATCATGTGATTCTCTGGTCAAACCACCACTTCTGCAATATGTAACTACTAATCTGCCACTGTGTGTTGTAATGTAGTGATAACCCAGTTTTAATCAATGATGTAAACAGTGAGAAGCATCATGTTTATATGTTTTACTCATGGCCTCCCAGGACCGTGAAAACCCACTGGACAATGTCCTCCTGTACTCTCTGAGGCGAGCAGGCAGCGTGGAGATGCTGGACCACAGTGGAGATGAGGATGACAGGAGAACGTCACGTAAGTCATCACCACATCACTTTGTCTTCGGTCCATTCAGTCGTCCCTCCTTCACAAAAGCATCTCGCAAAACCGTCCCTGCCCTCAACTCCACATGACAACCTCTCACTCCATCATCATCACCACTTTTTGTTTTCTTCAAACCTCCACACAGGCTTCTTACATCCCTCCATCCTCTCCTCCATCCTCTCCTCCATTCAGCCCACTTATATTTTCACGCGGCCCCCGTGGCAAATAATCCCACCGTCAGTCCTGTCTCACCTCCGCCGTCGCCCGGCCCTGCCACTATTCATCCTCACCACCATCCCCTCTCATCTGCTCGCCAGCCTCGCGGCCGAATGCCCTGCACTGACCCCCTCCTCCTCTTCTTCCTCCTTCTCTTCCTCCTGCTCCTCCTTCTCCTTTCCTCCATCTGCAGTCCCTCGCTCGTCGTCCAACCTGGAAAACACGGAGAGGAAGAGAGTAAAGACGCGATTGAAGAAGCTGATCCTGAAGAGACCTCCACTGCAGGCTCTGCAGGAGAAAGGCCTCATTAAAGGTGAGGTTTCTTTTTGAAGTCTCCAGACTATTTGAATGCGCTCGTATCCTTTATTTAGCAGCAGTGAATAATGGACATACAAGTTCTTTTTTTCATGAATTTCACAGCTAAAACTATCCAGTGGACTTTTGTTGAGAAGTTGTAGATATTCTTCCTTTAAGCCGGCTGCCGTCACAGTTGCAAGAGCAGGCGAGAAATCTGTGTTTATCCTGTGGTGATGCCTCATCAATCGTGAATGTGAATCGCTCTCCTCCTCGTCCAGAAAAAGTTTTTCACACGGCGTGTCTGTCGATTACACTGTTAGGACATCTGTTATGTGTCTTTCTCTAGAGCTGGAACAATCCCTGGGCTTTTCATGTTTTTTTAATGGGTCAGAAGAAGTAAAGTCCATTTTTATGTTCAGGCTGTCATCAGAAAGTAACAAATAATAAATATGTGGAGAGAAAAGCACCTTGAGTTCAGGACAGGAGACGTCAGAGAAATGTTCAGTTCGTGTGAAAATTACCCAAATCATATTCTGTGGCCTCTAAACAGAAGGTAGTTTGTGTTTTTTCACCTCTGCAGATAAAACTTTTTATATGCCTTTTAAGCAGCTTTTTGAAAAGCTTATATATGTTCAAATATAGGTTTTATCCATAGACTAAGCTTAAGCAGCAAAAAGCTGTTTTGGTGTATTTTCATTTGCAGGTGATTTAAAACAAAAATATCTGACTTCTCCAGCTACTATGAGAGAAGTTGGAAAGTCTTATATAGTTAAATTAGAGCCCTCATCAGAGAGCCACACTCTGGAGTGAAGGTCTGCATATGATTTGTTTCACCTATAGAACATACAGTACATGGATTGTGTTGCATCATCAAGTGTGAGCCTTCATCTCTGGGAGCAAAGTCAAAGGAGTCATAGGTTTTCTCCCTCAGCCAACTAAATCAGTTTCAAGATTAACGTGGGCTTGTAGCTCTTACATCACGTCTGTTGTGTAAGAAAATAAAATTGACAGTAAGATAAAAAAGTGTGTTTGTGTCTGTCGTCACTCTTCAGATCAGGTGTTCGGCTGTTGTCTGGAGATGCTCTGCGAGCGGGAGAAGAGCACCGTCCCTCGCTTCGTCAAACTTTGCACCGAGGCCGTGGAGAGGAGAGGTAGAGTCACTGCAGACAGACGACCGCTGCTGATGTGATCCGCAACTTAAAGCAGACGCATAAGAAAACAAGCTCAGTCCCATGTGGAGCATCTGTCACTGACGGCAGACTCTGCATCTGCAGTTCAGCACAAATCATCAAACTGAAATTTACAGGAAAATGTTTGACAGTTGCACAAAGCACAAATTATGGCAGTTGCCAGAGAAAGAGAGATTGATATTAGAGAAAATTGAGTCTTGTTTAGAAACAGTACTGCGAGTAAATATTTAAGAGCTTTATAAACTTAGTTTTGATGATTTGAATATTTCTAGGGAGCAGATTGAGACATTTACGTATAAGGTGTGACGGACTGAAAAACGTATCCTTCAACTATTTTGATAGTTCTCGCAGCTTTGGTGTATAATTACTGTTGTAGAAAGGGAAGAAGGTAGAATCTTTTTCTTCAGCATACTATGTTAACTCACAATTATTTTCATTATCAATTAAACAAAAATTTATTTCCTTGATTAATTCATAATTTAAAATATGTGACATGTCAGAAAATGGTGGAATTTAGACAGGTAACAGTGAAAAACGTGAGAGGAAACTTGAACGAGTTTATTTCATTTTTGCTTAGACTATGTCTTTAACAGCTAATCTAGCTAATAATCAATGTGTGTGTGTGTGTGTGTGTGTGTGTGTGTGTGTGTGTGTGTGTGTGTTGTTATACCTCCTGTCTTATACTGCAGGACTGGACACTGATGGCATCTACAGAGTCTCTGGAAACCTGGCAGTGATTCAGAAACTTCGCTTCCTGGTGAACCACGGTGAGGATGGCGGGGGGGAGGGGTCACACTGAACAGTTTGTGATGATTAATGCTGATATTTTGTGGCAGGTGGAAAAATCATTACATTTTTTATCCGATTCCTCTTTTTTTCTGCCACTTCAGTTCAAGACAATTCTCTCTGATGTTGTTTTATTCATTCAGAATGTACATAACGATTAAATCTCAGATATTTTACACACACCTTTTTCTCCCTGCGTGAAATCTTTTACTCTCTCACTCCCTGTGCACCACATCCTTTTGATGAAGTGAGGAAAAGCTGACTGAGTAACTGTTTTCTGCAGAGCGAGCGGTGACTACTGACGGCCGCTACATGTTCCCACAGGAGTTGGTACAAGGTAGAGTCAGACGGACGAGGAAGAACAGTGGCTTTCATGTGCTCGTCCTGGCCCTGCTTGTTTTTGTGCATTATTTGTTGCATAATGTGAACAGATCTCAGTCAAGCACACACATGCCGACAGACTAACACGCCGAGCTGAGCTGTGGCGCCGACGTGCACTGAACGTTGAAAGTTTGGTGCTTGTGCTACCATTTGCTTAATGTGTGTGTGTCCCTTAGGCTCTTCTGCTTTAAGTTTTCTGATGTAATAACACAGAGCAGGTTGTACAGAGAGTTGCTGCACGGTGCACGGCTGCCACCAAGTGGACGAAACGGAGAGTCAGCAGCTTGTGCACTCTGAGGTGCTCCAATCCCACATAACATCTCACTGACTAATGTTTCTCCTCAGAACGTGATGGACATGGTTTTTATATTTGAACCATTTATCTAATTGACACTGAGGTCAAATTAAAGCTCTTTTTGTCTTTGGATCCGTTTTGAGAAGCACTAGTCAGGCCTGGATTGTTAAAGAAAATGTGCTTTATACATCTAAATGTGTGTGTGTGTGTGTNATTGTTAAAGAAAATGTGCTTTATACATCTAAATGTGTGTGTGTGTGTGTGTGTGTGTGTGTGTGTGTGTGTGTGTGTGTGTGTGTGTGTGTGTGTGATTTGTGCGTCTGTCTCCTCTTACTCTCACAGACCATCTCTATCTCCCTCCTGCAGCTACAAGCCTTCATGTTCCGCCTCAGCCCTGACGTGAATTCTCGCTCTGTTTACGTTCCTCCCTTTAAACAACGCCGTGACTGTAACTCCACTTATTTTTCTCTCTCTCTCTAAATTCAAACTCTTTTGTCTTTCCTTCACGTATTGCCCCACTTTTCCTTCATTTCCTCTGACCCTGTCTGTCTGAATTTCTCGCCGTTCCCCTCATCCTCTCCCTCCCTCCCCGTCTCTCAGAGGAGAAGCTGAATTTGGACGAGAGTGAGTGGGAGGACATCCATGTCATCACAGGAGCTATGAAACTTTTCTTCCGCGAGCTTCCGGAGCCTCTGGTGCCCTACGGCTTCTTCACAGACATCGTGGAGACAGTCAGTGAGTGACCACTTTCAGCCCCAATCAGACTTCAGTTTTTCTTATACACCCTTCCCCTGAACGCTGGGCATCGGTCAGAGACGCTCGTCTTTGATCCATCTGAGAAAGATATTAAAGAACTTTGATCTCATCGCTGTGTACAAACCTTGTACGAAATTAAAACTGAATAGCAGCAAAAAAATACCTTTATATTTGAGGTGAGAGGACTTTTTTCCCAATTCCAAATATTTCGTGTCTTTGATTCGACTGAGACGACGATGGTAGATTCCATGGCTGGACTCTTTGTGGAGATGTTGCAATGACATGATCAGCATCTCAAACAGTAAGGCGACCGGGACACATGCACATGCAGGGAACCATTTTATTCTCACCTTGTTATGTTTCCCCCCATGCTGTTTTACTCAGAATAGTCATCACACTGCTGTGGTCCTGAATAATCAAAACCTAAAGACACAAATAAACATTTTATAGCTGCTTTATACTATAAATACAAAAATGTGTGAAAGAAAATGATGCTTCCTGAGATGAAACGTAAATGTATTCCAGTGCGAGAGACGAGTAATTACATCCTGACATAGCTGGAATTTATTGAGCAGCATCAAATTAAAATGAAGCGATGGTTTCTCCACAAAAAAAAAAACTTAAATTACAGATCATCACATATTCATAGTTGCACTTTTTCATACTTTGAATACATTTTTACACCTTTATTTAAAGGATAAGGCTGGTGATGTTCTATTTATAATTTTTTTTTTTTACTGTCAACAAATCCCATGAATGAACAAAACCAGCAATGTGTTGTTTTTGTTGGTTTTCATTATGACTTCTCCACCCTGCCTGTGGCACTCAGGCTCAAAGCCAAGTCACTCACACTGACGACATAAATCTTAAATATGCGCCACAAATGGAGAAGTTTTTTGTTTTTTTGATTTCAACAAAGATTCAGTCATTTCCTTAAAAAACGTTTAGGCTCTGTATAACAAGTCCTTCTCAGATTTAAGTAAATAGAGCATTTAGGTGACTGTTTAATTAATTGCTACACAACTAATAGAGCTCAGTAGTTTGAAGGATTTTCCCTTCATTGTCAGTTTTCATTGATTAGGCAGTAACAGGCCATTCACATTTAATTTACTGGAAACCTTATTCAGTGTTTATCTCTGAAGACACATCTGGTCAATTCCCATCTGCAGTGACCATAGCAACCAAAGTTAGAGAGGAGGCTCTCATAGATAAGACGGAGACGGAGAAGGGAAACACCCAGTGTCTCGGAGTCTCCAGGTTGTTTTATTCGTTTTAGTGTTTGAATATACTTAATGTTAAGGATTAAATTGAATTTCCATTAGAATATTAACAAATATATGTATATAAAGGTATGGATGTGAGGTGTTGCACCCAATTTTTCACATCCTGATTTGGACCTGTAAATCCTTGTTAAATAGTTAATTGAGTATTTATATAATGTTTTTCTAGTCTTAATGACCAGTCGGAGCACTGAACAGTACAGTTTTTCTATTCACACACATTTTCATACTGTGTTTCTACAGTATGTGCAGCACTTTCCCTATCATACATCATTCTCACACTTCTGGCACAGCCGTCAGGGGCAATTTGGGGTTCAGTATCTTGCCCAAGGGCACTTTGGCACTTGGAATGGAGGAGCTACACCAAAGTGAAGCGAAGTGAACTCTTTAACCAAGACAGCCTTGATTTTGTGCTCCTCTTTTTTCTCCTTAAGTCAATAAATGCTTCAATTAAAGACTCCTGAAGTCTCCAGAAAACTCCCTCCACTAGATCACAAGATTTTCTCCACACACTGGTTCATTGTATAAGATGTTATTCAGTGCGGCTCCATGTAAATCTGTTGAATTAAGGAATGAACCAAATCAAACTCACACACAACACTTGTCATTCACTAATCACAGTTCTGATCTTTTCATTGACAAAAAGAAAATTACGAAATATCTTCAAACTCTTTATCTATGGGCTTCAATTAGATTCAGATCTGCCCAGACCTCTTTGATACTACGGTGTATCATGGTATCTTTTACTTATCCTAAAACATTAAATGATCTAAATTCAAATATAGATTACATTCAGTAAGAAATTATTGCATATTAAGAAAGAAATGTAGTGTAAAAATGTAAATGTATTCATGTGTCTGCACAGACTGTGATCAGCACTTCACTCCTCATCAAACCACAGTGGTGATAGTGGATAATTGCAAGCTGCTGTATCGAATTAGTTAGTGGAGGCTAATAAAGTACATGTGATATCAGTTAATGGGTGCAAATCAACTTTTTGGATGCTAATAAAGGAATGTAATATCATGCAAAAGATAAAAATGCACTACGATCTGACCGGTCTATTGCTCTGTGTTGCAGAGATGTCGGACTACATGGACAAAGTGGATCGTCTGAAGTGTCTGGTGCTCAACATGCCTCCCCCGAACCACGATACACTGCTGTTCATATGCCGCCATCTCAGACGGTGAGAGGGTGGGATTGGAACCATGTGCAGTAAATATCTGCTGTTGTGTCTGTCCTCATCCCCGCTCAGTTTTCCATGTAGCTCTGATGGTTTCAGTGGCATTTCATAAGGCCGAATATTCCCCTTGGCACATATCAGCCATGAAACAATGAACCACATGCCCTCGTAGGGAAATAAAATCTCCGTCTTATAACTTTTCCTTTCAAATTGACCACAAGATGGGGTAGTTCCCTTGTGGATGTCAGTGATTTTCTGTCAGGGATTCTTCGTGTCTTGGAGCACGCCAGCACCGTACCAGGATCGCACTGTTGTTAAGTTTGGGTCGTCTGAAGATGAAAAGGCTGGAGGAAGATGAATGGTGTACAATGTTATGTGAGCCAGTTCCTTTTACAGTACATAAAATGTGTGTTTTTTACCGCTTATGGTTTTTCCTTCCACTCCAGGGGTGAGTGTTCGTGTTCTGAGGCCGATGTTTGTGCCAGGGTGTGGTGGGCCCCATGAATTTGTCAACTCTGTGTCTTTCTCTCATTTTCTCTCCACTGTCATCCCCCCACCCCCCCACCCCCCCACCCCTCCTTCTGTTTATCATTTATCATCTCCCTGCTCAATCAACCTCTGTCGCCTCCTCTCTCCTCTGGCTTGCCACCATTGTTTCCTCACGTCCTCTTTATCCTCTTCCCTCTCTTTTCACTCCCCCCTTCCTCTTCCTCCCTTCTTCCTCCCCTTTCCATCCCTTTCTCCTTTTTCTCCATCCTCCTCCTCCCCCCCTTGTGCCTTCCCTCCGCTCTCCTCCTTGCCTCGAAGGTCCCATGGGAGCCTTGTGGTTCGTCTGCTGGAAGGCATACCGACACCACCGCCGCCACCACTGGAACCTCTCTCTTTTCTCTCTCTTCGCCCTCTCCCTCGCTCGCTACGTTTTTTTTTCTTCTCTTCCCTCTCCTCTCCTCTCCTCTCTCTCTCTTTTTTCCTCCTTTCTTTTTAATGTGGAAGTTTTGAGCAATTGCTGGCTGCTTCTGTGGCTTGGTGGGAATGGCATTTTTAGAAGAATGCCTCATGCTGTGGCTTTAACCCATTCCTGAGTCTCCCAAGATCACACACACACACGCTCAAAGACACCAGGATAGGTCGATACAGGCGGGGGACAGTTACATGCATGTATCTACATTGTAAAAATGCACATGCATCCAAAAAAGGGAAAACTTGCATTCCTGAGTTTGTTAGAATTATGCCACATATTGACCACAAGGATGAAGTTGTATGTTTACATCTATACATACCTGTATTTCCAAAGATTAACTCTAACCAGACTTAATGTTTGCAGCAATAAAAAGTAACTAAATGCTGATATCTTGAGATGTCCTTGTGTTCAAGGATGGCTAACGCCAGACCACGTTCCTTGGAGGAATGCAGTGGCTGAGCACAAGGTTGTATAATTGACTTTAAGTAGTGGGGTGCAGCGCCCAAAGCCATTTGATTTTGATTTAGGTGGCCATGGGTGGCCACCGGACATCAATTTGCACCAGAGTGACATGTGCCTTTATGGGCTGATCAAAGATGCGGCATCACATTCGGGACTATCTGAGTTTTACTGTATATGTAACAGGACCTTGTTGAGGGGAGAAAAACCATGTTTTGCAAAGTGGCACAACCAGGAGGCAGATGCAAAAAGCATAACTGGTCATCAGTCATCACAGACACGTTTCTCACAACTTTAGCTGGGAGAGACATAGATAAAAAGACTTCTACCCATGTAAAATATTTCCTTCATGTGGGTCTGTCTGACTCACAAGCCGAGATCTAGCTGGGGTCATGTGGCAGGAATGACAGATATAGTTGGTTATTATCTGCAGCAGCGATATGGGAAGCAATGCACGAGGATAATCAGACCTAAGGAGTTGGTGTCCTGAGCTTTGGGGCAACCAAGCGGGAAATGTGTCCTTACCATGTCACTGGTAAGCTTTCAAAAAAAGCTTAGGAGATATTATTCAAAACAAGAATGTGCTTTGCCTGTGATGCCTTATTTTAGTGCGTAACGATGGTATGAGTCAATGGTTCGGTGTTTAGTATGGAAGGAGATTGTGTTTTTAGCTTTAACAGCTAGAGAGCCGTCTGTCTCTCCTCCACAATATCAGTCTGATCGTGATGGTGTGTGATAGTGTTGCATTCATTCTCTTGATTCTTGACTTCCTGGTGCCTGCAAATTGGCTCACAGCGCAAGCTGTAGTTGTGGCATGAATGGAGGACATTTGTGAGAAAATCCCATGGCCAAGTATTTGTTTTTCATCTTTTTGTACTTGTTAAACAATATTCCTTGTCTTGATGTTTTTTTTATACTTGCAGAAAACACATTTTTGTACATCTAAGATTCCTTTTTTTGTACTTGTGTGAAATGTGGAAGGTTATTTGTTTCTGAAGCATCATTTATTAGCAACAAGTCATGTATTTGTTTATCAGATGTGTTTTGTGTTTGCAAAACAAAATGCATTAGTGTGTTTTATTTTTGCAAGCCATGTGATTGCAAGTGAATGGTGGGGAATTAATATTTAAACCAAAGTGTATGCTGGTCCATCTACTTTCTGTTGTGATATTTAATTATGAACCCCGAATGTTAACCTCCTGGTGTCTCCTGAAGAAGTTTCACTGAATCGCCAACACTTATCATGCATTCATTTCTGTTTAAAATTTCATTCATCCAGTAGTTTTTGTTGATGTTTAAGGTTTTATTCTGAATTTTATTTTCTTCTCTTTTACTCGCCACAGAGTGTTGGAACATTCAGATACCAACAGAATGACCACACAGAACATCGGCATTGTGTTTGGGCCGACGCTGATGCGCCCGGAGAGGGACAACGGCAACATGGCGGTGAATATGGTCTACCAGAACCAGGCGGTGGAGCTCATCCTCAGCGAATTCGACCACATCTTTGGAAGGAGAGGCCCCCCTTGATCTTTTTCGGACAGGGCTGTGGGGGGGAGGCTCCTGCAGATCAGACGAAAGCACAAGTAGTGCAGCGTATGTCCTCTTCGCCTGTTGACTCATATGGTGTAAAATGGATTTCACATCAAAAGATAATTATGGGGTAAAAAGAACCAGGACAGAAAGCTGCTAATCATGACATCTGGCCTCCATATAAAGCCATGTGAAAACAATAATAGTAAAACAAGCCAACTTTTAGCTGCAATACTTGTGCCTTTGCCTGCAAATGTGGAGCCCAGCCCTGAAGTTCTTTACTGCGTGAACAGACGCCTCCTTGTCACTTTTCCTTCATGTTTCAGACTTGATCATGACAAATAAAAAGCCATAAAAAGTGATGAATCTCCTCCAGCCTCCTCAGCCAGCTTTTTTATAACCAGTTATTTTTCAAAGAATGAGAGGAAAGGTCTGGTTTTTTAGACAAAAAGCAGAACCATCTCACTGTGAAAACAGCAGCACCTCTTGCAGGAAGGTTCGACAGTTCCACCTGCAGTGTAAGAGTAGGTAAACCGGAAATTATGCAGAGAAGCAGAAGGCAAGCTGGGTGTGGCAGTGTGCTGGCATCTCTGCTGAAGTTATACAAGAGATTTAATTTGAGAGAACTCTTCACAGATATGAGCATTATTTCAGTGATGGGGAGATTGTGCCAACATGGCAGCAAATGTTCCTTTGTACAAAATAGTACTTTGTTGTGTTTGGATCCTCAGAGTTTCTTTAATTGTACAATTTCAGACTTGTCTCCTGTTTCTATTAGTCCAAACTCCTCAGATTAGGTTAAAAATATGGAGTTGTAAATATGTGACATAGTGTGTTTGTCAATTTGTAGCACTTTGGATAAAGTGTTTAACCTTAAAAAGAATATATTGGCCACCTTCAAAGTGATACATCTCCTTTGAAAGGAGCGGTGTGCTGTTAAAAAAATGTTACTCTGACCTGATTGTTAACTCTCCTGCAATAAACACAAAAACAATCTGAATAAAGTGATGGATCTGTTTTTGTTGTATTTGGCCTGTATGCGTCCATCAGGTTGTTTGTGCCGAGGGATGGGTTGCATGAGAGATAAAGTGTGTGGAGGTATGTGGGCGTTTGGAGACTTAGCGGTCAGAGGCATCCCCTGTGATTGGTGCAAATGCTGCTTTTAATAACAGAACAAAAGAGGAACTGGAAATGCATATGTTTAAAAAATGTGGATTTTCCCTCAAAAAAACCTTCTCACTCTCTCTCTGGCTCTGTGGCTTTGGTAATTTTATATTGACTGTGGGTTTGGCAAAAGACGAAAAGGAGCAGAGAAGAGGCACAGGGGTGGAGGGCGGGGGTCTTGTAGACTTTGCAAAGTTTTATTAGATGTATTTATTCATTTTTATGCTTGTTTTATTTCAAGTCATGTGAGTGTGCGAGGAGGGGCTAAATGAGAGTGATCATTTTGTGCAAGGTTTGAAACATTTTCTACTTAATTTCTACTTAAACAGACAATTCCACTTGTTTATTTTTGTTCAGGGAGTCGTCACAATTACCATATCTCCCTCAGTCATTAGTGCAGTTTGTGATTCTTTCTTTGTGTCCCAGGGCCTCATTTTAAATTATGCAAAGAAAGTACAGCAGGGTGAAAGCATTAATTGATTCAACGTTTCTTAAAGTAGTTTATTGTATGTTTTGTTCTCCAAACTGAAGAAATATTCCATCAATAAAAACCCGGTGGAACAAAGAACTGCCGTCGAGCTCTGTGATGTGTGTTTTCACTTTAGTGTGATGCTGCTAATCACTCACTAAAATTAGAGTCAGTCTGTAAAGCGACACAATCAAACACCCGGCCTTCTAATCAGCAGCAGTGAAAGTCAAACTCCGCTTCTCTTTTTCTTTACTTTTCTCAATTTTCTGTCTTTCTTTGAGTTATTAATTGTGTAACTTATCGATGGAGCTCTCAAATTTTATTCATAGATTTAAAACAATACAAAATAGAAATGTGTGCACTCATTTCCCCGATGCAGATGAAAGCACTTATTGATAAATTTGCTCCCAGCTACAGATTACCGAGGGGCTGATGACAATATGTGGGCCATTAGCTTTTAATTGTGTTGTCTGCACAACTGAAACGAAAACGATTCCTGTAAATAAAAGAAAAATAAAAGTTTTTTTATATCCTTGTATCCCCGAAACTAATTTAATTTTCACAGGTCAGATTTAAATCAATTAAACATAATTTCATTACATATCATTTTACCTGTACAATGCTCCTGATTTACCTCAAGCACCTGTGAGTGTCCAATATAAGTTGTTTTCAAATCGGGTTTGGTTAATTTCTGTCTGAATACATCTACTTCCGGGTGTGGGGCACAGGCCAAATGGATGTGAACGTGGGTCCTGAAAGTTTTGGCAAACATGTGACCTGAGGCTGCGCTTTAATTGGTTGTTGCAGATTTTCCACAGTTCGCAGGACACGCCTACTTTTATTTATAGCCAATAGGTATTGATTTACGTCGACACCGTCTCAGGTGCGTTTGACGTCACTGAGTTAGTTCCGGTGCGAGCTGACCGGCCCCAGGTGGAACTGAGGAACTGAGGTAAATCAAATAACTTCTTTATAAAAACACCCCAACAAGACAAACGGAGGATGAAGGAGCTTGGTCCGGACCTGAGCTCCAGATTCAGCAGGAGGAGCGCACACCTTCTCCTGCTCTAGTCATGAGAAACAGGCGACTGGATGTGGAGTGAGTAAAGTCTTTCAATGCTTCACCTGTTTCACCTAAAACATCTCTCTGAAAAATGCAAGCGGCATTAAAAGTTGCCACAGTCGCATTGAGGCTACATTTCTGATGAAGGCTACATTACTGAGGTATTATGTTGTTTTTGTTGAGTCTGGCTTCACTTTGTTTGGACTGTCCTGTGGTTCATCCAAACTTATCAGGCTTAAGCTTACAAATTACTTTTTACATGCAAAAGAGAGTGAATTGGACCCTCGCTGTATAAATAAAGTCAGAATGAATAAAAGACATCCTGTTATTTTAAAGATGAGATTATGACAAACAGGTGTCATGTTGCTCTGGTTGAAGAACTGTTTCTCTACTAAAATTATCTGTAGCTGTGTTCATTCTAAGATCTGTTTGCTTTGTGACACTGTTGTTCCTGCGAATCGAAACTTAAAATAGCTCAGAAGCAAATCTGACAACCAGTTGCGGGTTGGCCTGTTGCTTCTGTCTGAGTAAGTCGGGGCAGTTCTCCGTTAAATGTCGTCTTACTCATGGTTGAGTCCAAGTCAGATGTCATAACATCCCCAGCTGCTGGTGCTACAGTCGACTAAATGTTACTTAATTATCTGACCCACGTCACGGCATGGTGTTTGTTAATGTTATGGTTAGCTGATTGTTTACTCGACCTACTGTTTAAAGTTCAGTGTATCAAATATCCACAGAGCTGCTCAACCCTGCAGTGCCCCCGCCACACGCACCAAGCTGCCACCTCTGATGAATCATCATGCAAATCGATCATGAGCGCTGATGGGAACTGTTTTGCTGTGATGGGAAACTGAGTGACAAACAAATAGAGATCACTATATAAGGCCCCCGTCTGATTTTGTATAGCTCAACATATTTCATAACCACTTCAAGAAATTTAGGTTACTTGTCCAACATGTATGTCAAAAATCAATGAAATCAAAGATTCTGGTGTAAAACATCTACAATTTTATTACAAATATCCACAAACATGCAAGAAAATATGTATAAAAGGTTAATACAAAAATTGCATTTGTGCAAGTAGAAAAAATAAAAAAATACTGCTCAATATTAAAAGTCTGCAGACACTGAGTGAAACTAGGCAACACTTTCTTTATGCCTATTTTTGACAGGAATAATAGGTACGGAACTACAAGGTTGTATTTGATGTGGCACATATGCATATCTTTGGTGATAATCACACACACACATGCACTGATGCATGAATGTCACAAGCTTAGTCACACCTCATGCGCCACCATCTTATCTTGTCCTACCAAGGCTCTGTCGGATTACTCACAGTGTCTCAGTACATCCGAGGCACTTTTCACGTTGACTACACTGCAGTCAGAAAGAGGAAGTGAGAAGTTAAAAACTGATGTGTGCGTGAGTCCTGAGTCTTGACCCTCTTGCCACATCTCAACAGACACCCTGAACGCGTGACACCTTGTTGTTCCTGACAGGCTGCGGCACATGTAAATCATTACGAATAAGACCAGACATTGTATCTTTAGATAAAATAAAGCAGCTCATTGTGGTTATTACACAAACAGGGAGAAAAGTACAAAGTTTAATTTGCTCCCTCACAATAACAATCCATAAGACCTCCCCCCTATAACCTCAGACTGAAATGACTTCTCTTACCAAGGCACGCAATTAAAAAGGTGCAGTCCACTTTCCTTCCTGAAATAAAAAATACAAAAACGCTGCTTTTCAGTTCTTCCTGTTTTTACTGCTCATTCTAAACACTAAATATATTGCTGATGAATTAAAGCCACTGAGAACCATAGTTACCCTGAAGAAATGAGTTGGTTTTACCTTTTTTGATTTCACAGCATTAATGGCATAAGTCCTTGCAACAATAATTGTATATAGTAAAGCGCTCACTGGTTTTAGTTACAGTTATTGCTATTTCTTAAAATAGAGGTAAAGATTTGTCATGAAATACACCACAGGATATCCAAAGGTGATCTTTTTCTTGGACTGGATATATGCTGACTAGACATCAGGTGATTGTGTTGATTTGGCAGCATCTGTAACCTTTGACCTCTGGTCTTGATTGTATTTTAACATAATAATAGATGTCCCTCCGTCCTGCAATCAATCACACAGACAATTCCTTCAGGGCCCCAGTCACTGGTATGCATCTACAATGTGAACAGTTGTAATGTTTCAAACAAAGTAAAAAAAAAAATTTAAAAAAAGAGTTAGGAACAAAAGCTTCTGGTTTAGGGGTTGTGCAGCAGCAACAGCAGCAGCAGCAAGCAAATGAAAAGTTAGAAAAACCACAAAACCACATCTGGATATGTGACACAACCTCTGATAAGTAAAAAATGTTGCTGTCCTGGAAAAATAAAATAAAAGTATAAAAAAACAACAAGGTACATCAAGTCTATTTTACATGATAAAATATTGTCACATATATTTTGTTTGTATGGCTTGATCCTCTTTAAGGCCACATACGCATTGGAAGTTTTGTGCATTTTTTTCATGATGTGAAATAAAAAGTAATCAGAGGAGCTGTTATATATATTTATATGATAGATAAAAAATTATCCAAAGTATTTTATATATACAGTATATGCATTGTTTTGGCTTGTTGAAGTCACCTTAAGTCTTTATCC